AAAATAGGGACCATTCTTTTATTAGGAGTCTTTCCAAGCATCTTTAAGCATAGTATTTTGCCACATTGAAGATTTCTGTGTGGATGTAAAGACATGCACATGAACAAAACCCATTTCACTCATACAGAGGATATAAATGTGTTTCATTTCTAAGTATTTGAAAGTAAGCAATCGAAAGGGAAAAATATTTTTGGGATGGCATTGTAACCAGTAACAGGAGATTGGAAAATAGAAAATCATAGTTACTGTTCTGTAATAATTACTGTGTTGGAGATTTTACAGTTTTCACAAACAAAATGTATTTTTCATTTACTTCTAATAAAATGACAAGCAGATATGACAAGAGAATAAATTTGGGTACATGCTTCTGTACACAAAACATTGTTGTACTCTGTTCACTGTTTAGTTTGCAATGTGATATATTAATGTAAGGTTATAAAAATTGCTTTTAAATCTTAAACAGTGTAAAATGTAAAGTTTTTTCACACTTGAAGGAAAAACAAATAAAGTTTTCTAGTAAAAGATAATTTGATTCTATGATCTGATGGTTGAAAATATTCCATGCTAGGTCATATTGCTCTGGATTTCTCCTGGTCTTACAGAATTGCTTGTGTGTCTGTTTTTAGGATGAGCAGCCATTAACAAAGGGAGCTTGAAGTAAAAGTAAGAGAATCAGCATGAACATGTTGGGCACTGTAAGGATTTGTGTGTCTGTGTTCAGAGTATTTTGTGACATTCATTTGTCCCCAGAGTGGCATTTGGGAGAAGCTGTGTGTCAGTATGGGTAGTGTCAGTTTGAATATGCCTAAATACCCAGTCATCTTCCTAGCAACTTTTGGAACCAAAGCCTTTCATTTCTGCTCACATGGAATCACTACAGTGAGAAATGGAATCTATGCAGTCTCTGGTGTTGTGCAGGTGTTGTCCCACCCTGATGAGCTATCGATCCTTCCCAATACGTTTAGTTAGGTTTAATACTGTAAAACAGACTTTATTTGGAGTCTTTGTCTTGGAAAGAAGGTGTTACTGCCAAGATGCCACACTGAAGTTACAGAACTTCAAAAGATCCTGGTTTCTTGTAATTCCATGCAGGCATTTTTAGATTTTTTTTGTGTCCAGCCCAATTAAGATTATGAAGATATTACTGATATATACTGATTCTACTGAGTAGAATGCCTTAGGAAAGTGAAAAGTGTGACCTTCTCCTCCAAACATTAGGTATACAAATAAAATGGATAGATACGGCGTAACCTGACCCTGTGGCACTTGTATGTATCTGTATAATTACAGCTGAAGAGCCTGTTAATTTGCAAGTTTAGGGATGTTTAGATTAAATGAGAGTGTTGTGGAATGACTGTGTAGGGTGCAGCAGCACAGAGTGGCCCTGCAAGGGGCTGTTCCCCCACACACCGAGGCGGAGGAGCCGTGAGTGGCACAGCCCCGGAGCCCCAGCCAGCCACAGTCCGGGGGGGCTGAGGATGGGAAATGAGGGCTTTTACCCCGAATGGAGGCTTTTTTTGATTCCTCTCAGCAAAGCTGGTCAGATCAGAGCTGAAGTCTTGGCAGGGAGTAAACCGGATTTTTTTTCCCCTCCCCTCTCCCTCTCTAATCAGCTCTGGGCACCGTGCCTCGTCTTGGCCCCTCAAAAAGGCTGGGAAATGCAAAATCATCTTTATAGCATTTAATATTAAATGGAGCTGGTAAACGCTGCACTGTAAATTTGGGAAAACTGAAGTTCAGAGGTTTGCATTCTGAGGCTGGTCTGGCCTGAATCGCCTTCCCTTCCTTTTCCTCCTCATATCCCCCTCCCCCACGCGTGCTGTTAAAATTAAGGTTTGTGTTTATTTGTATTTATTTGCAGTTGGGGAAGAGGAGTGTTGATATATGGAGCCAGTGGCCAGGTTTCGCTGATGACATATGCGATATGAAAAAGAATTCCCATCCACAAACACGGTTGCTGCTGTGCCAAAATCCCTCTTTTCGCCGCCAAAGGCAGTTTTCTAAGGCCGAAGCGGAGCACATCTTCCCCTTCGAATCCATCCCCGTCTTCTGCAGGGCACCTTAAATGTGCCTTAATTGAATAGTTCTCCCGCACCCTCCTTATAGCAGTTTAATAGATTAACTCATCTGTGCCAGCTTCAAATTTCAGATTAAAATTCCTTCATCCCGAAGGCAGCATTATCAGGTTGTTGGAGGCTGTTTTCAAACCTTGGTTTTGAATAGCAGCGGCTCTGCATTAATTTAACCACTAAGCTAATAAGTAGGTTTCGTTTTGTTATGCTAAGCTTTATTGCTTTTCTTTTGATCAGAATGGTGTTGTTGAGCAAAGCAGCAGACAAGGCATTCTTTGATGAGGGAATTAGCGCTCTATTCTTCCTCTATTATTCATAGCACAGTGGAATATGTAAGTACCTGAGGGTGTCAAAGGAGAGCAGGCTCTATTGCAAAGTGTTCGCCTTGTTTCTCTCAATAGCTGACTATGAGATGATAAACCGCTTAATACACTGCACTAATTGGATGAGAGCAAAAAGAGATGGGAATTAAGGCACGGCGAAAGGAGAAAGTGCTACCAGCCTTCATTCACTCTTTCACCACTTTAACAGCACCAAAGGAGGCACAAGCTTTCTATAAGCAGACTAGGGGTTTTGTGCGGAGATAAAATGAACCTGTTAGTGGATTCAGGTAATACACTAATTATTGCACAGTATAAATACCACTACTGGTTTTATAACACGGAGGTAAACTTCTTTTGAGAAGGTTATAGGATTGCTTGGCAGCAGTATAGATCCTAATAAGGGACCAGAGTAATAACCCCCTGGATTAACAAAATTGCTGCTTGCAGAAGTATGATTCGGGCTTTTACGAAGATTTCAGCAGAATGAATAAAAATGACTGAATGACATTTCTTAATGCCTAATGGCTTGATAATGATTCCCTTTTCTTTGAGGCAAAAATGTATATTTCAGGCTGCACTGTTAATAACGTCCAAGGAACAAGCCTTATTTTTCCTATAAATTTTTTTTTTCGTGCCTATGGTGGGTTTTAGAACTCAAAAATACGGCTGGGGGCGGGCGGGGTTGGGGGTGTGGGATATGAAATGCCGTGAGTGGAGGGGGGAGCTGCGGGGAAGGGTCGCGGCGGGCTCCCACGCGCGCTGCTCGCTCCAGCGGCGCTTCCCGGCCGGTGCCTCCCGGAGCCGGGATCGCCCCCGGAGCCGCCCCCGGGCCGGGCTGCCTCGGGGCGCCCTTGGGCTCTTCTCCGGCCCCGGCCCGTCGTTGTGGAGCGCTGCCGAGATTGGACTAAATCACCCAAAAAAAGAACCTCACAGCCCGGCGCTCCGACCGCCCGTGCGGGGCCGGGGCTTGTTCGGGAGGGAGCAGGAGACACCACGGCCGGGAAGGAGCGCGGGGAGCGCGGCCGGGGCTTCCCGCATTTCGGCCCCTGCTCCGGGGAAGAGGCAACGGGACCGCTGCGCCCAAAAAACAAAATCAAACAAACAAAAAACCAAAGCACAGACCCCAAAAAACCCAACAACAAAACAAACCAAANAAAAAAAAAAAAAAAAAAAAGACGAGGAAGAAAACCACCCGGGGAGTAATAAAAGAAGAGGGAAGAAACGGAAGTTCACCTCGAGGAGAACGAAGGGGCAAGCGCGGAGAAACTTTTGTAGCCCCAAAGGTGCAGGGGCGGCCAAGCGTTCCCCAGAAGTCCAGATTCTCTCCCCCACTCCCGACTTTCGGCAGCGGCGGAGCCTGGGGCTGCCCCGTCCCCGCCCGGCGAGAGCCGGGAGCTGGGGCGGCACCGCGGGCACCGAGACGGCCCCGAGCACCCGGGCTGGGCTGGGCAGTGCGGGGACAGCCACAGTGCCCGCGACAGAGCGCGGACAGGCGCGGCCGTGGGTGCCCACCCCACCTGCGACCCGCAGATCCCCTCGCAAACGGGGCTGCCGGCACCGCGCGGCCCCGCCACGCCCGAGCTGCGGCCGCGCCCCAGCCCAGCGACCCGCGCCCACCCAGACCCCGCGGGGGGGTCCTCGGCGCTGAGGCTGGCGGGGCTCAGCCCCGGCTGGCCCCGGCCCCGCAAGGACAGGGCTTTTTGCTTTTCTTGTGATTTTTTTTTTCTTTTTTTTTTTTTTTTTTTTTTTAACATTTTTTTTTTTTTTTTTTTTTTTTGTGGCACTTCTCCACCGGATAGCAAGGAAAAGTGTTAACAATAACGACATTACACGAAAAAGTACTGTACCATCGCCTCTTGAGGGTTTCAGAAACCTCTACAGTTAATAAGTTAAATAAAGAGTTTGTACATAAATATTTGTCTAGGAACCCTATTATATCTACAACACAGTAAGAATCTACAGAATGACAAACTTTTACAACACTACACTGAGTGCAATTGTTTTATAACTTTTCAAATATACAAAGCTCTGTTCTTTTTTTATAACAATGGTATGTACAGAATTAATAATCACAGTTTAGTGACTTAAACAGTCCATATTCTAGCAGTGTATTTCGCTTTGGTTTGATATAAAAACCTTGGTTGGTGTAGTGATAAAGAATATAACAAGAAAAAGATATACCCTTTCCCCTAAGTGCACTGGTTATCTTACAGCATCAAATTTACTTTCAGTTTGCACTGTCAGCATCCTTGGTTAGCATATGCAGCTCGTTGCAACATGTAAAATAGTTCCCCAGCGCTTCTAACTGACCAACTTATCCTAGGATGCTATTTTAAGAAGATGTGGGTAACTTTCCCCCTCTCTTAGCTTCTCTATTGTTGTTTCACTTTCTTAATTACAATTCTATTTCTTTCTTTTTTACTTGCCAGATAAACAGAAGGAAAAATATTTAGTGTACGAAACGCTAATATATAGTAACTTTTATTCGGTTTTTTCTTTTTTTTTTTTTTTTTTTCTTTTTTTTTTTTTTTTTTTTTTTCCCCCCCTTTTTGTTCATAGAGGAAACGGACATGCCGTACATTTAAGAAATGTACCAGCCAAGGAGTTACCCCCCCCTTATGTTCATAGAGGAAACGGACATGCCGTACATTTAAGAAATGTACCAGCCAAGGAGTTACTTATTCAGGAGATTTTAAGTGTCATTTCACTCATGTGAGGGCTGATGCGAGAGGCATTCACTTTCCCCAAGTTCCTATCTTGAGGACCTACTGCAGTCTCAGCTGCTGGTCCTCTGTTTTTTAAAAAAATCATTATTATTTTTCCCCCCGTTTGGTCTTGATTCCTGCTGTCTGAGGTGACCTTTATTGATTCGCGTATTTACTCTCCTCTTCTCTCCCTCTTTTTTCTCTCCCCCTTAAAAAAAAACCCCTAACCCGCACCCCGCGGCCGGCAGCCGTGCCTTAGCACACCTCTTTCCCCGTGCTGTTCCCGGGGAGGATGTTGAGCTGGGTGAGCTGGGCGGCGTGTTCCTTGGCCTTCAGCCGCAGGGCGGCGATGCTGGACGCCCGCCGGTCGGCGGCGGCGCTGGCCGGGTCCCCCAGCCCCGCCGAGCCCACCGCGCCCTCGGCGGCCGGCGCCGGCTGCCGCAGCAGCGCCGCGGCGCTGGAGGCGCTGCCCAGGGGGGACATGGTGGAAAAGAGCCTGCAAGGGAAGCACAGACGGCCGTCACCGCCGCGCCGGGGTCCGCCGGCCCGCACGGCCCCGGTCGCCTCCTTCCCGCCAAGCGCGGACGCGTGGGGACAGAGACTCGCTGGAAAAACCCGACGGCGGACAGGCGAAAGATTTTCTTCTGGGAGGGGGGAAAAAAAAAGGGAGGAAAAATCGCCGCGCGTGGTCCTCCCAGACTCGCCGCAGTCAAGGCGGCGGTGGCCGGGGGCTGCAGCCGGCGGAGAGGGGGATGCCCCCGGTCCTGGGCAGGCAGCGCTCGCTCCCCCGTTACCGGGACCCGTCCGCCCTCCGCCTGCCCCGGCTCCGAGCAGCGCTGCCGGGGCCGCCCGGCGCTCCCCGCACTCGGCCCGCGGGCTCTCCGCGGCTCCCGCGGGAGCCCGTCCCGACGCGAACCCGTGGGAGCAGCTCAGCCCCACGCGTGCCCGCGGCCAAAAATCTGCCCGAAACGATCCCCCCGCGGCCGGAGCGGCTCACGGCACCCGGGATGGCGCGGCTTCTGCTCATCCCGACTGGCCAAATACCAACAGCCCCCGCCCCGAGCGAAGCAGAGGCCACGCGTGCACGCAGGGAAACCCACGCAAGGGTTCAGTTTCTGCGTGGGAGCGCCGCTTCCCGCGGGCCGGTCCCTCGGGGGCCCTGCCCCGCCCGGGCTCCCGCGGCCCGGCCGCCCCCACGGGGAACCGCGCGGGGGAGCCGCCCCCGCCCAATGAGCGGCCGCGGCGGAAGCACGTGACCCGCGCGGCGCCCAATCGGCGCTGGCTGCGAGGCGCTCCAAGTTCGAACGGCGGCGCGGCCGCGCGCGGCGGGTCCCGCGTGGGCCGCGCTCCCCGCGCCGGGACAGCCCCAGCACTGCCCCGCACTGCCCCGCACTGCCCCGCACTGCCCCGTGCCCGCCGCGGGCGGTACCTGCCGAAGGCGGGGCTGATGAAGGCGGGGTGGCGGAACACGGCCGCGCCCAGGAAGGTGCCGAGGCCGAGCGGGGTCCCGCCGGGGGGCAGCGCCGCGGAGCCGGGGGGCGGCGGCGGCAGGCTGGGGAAGGCGGCGGCCGCGGCGGCGGCGGCGGTCCAGGCGGAGTCTAGAGCTGGGTGATGAGGAGGGAAAGGACTAGCATCAAGGTATGGACTGAGGGGGTGAGTTGCTGACAGGGGACCAGGGAAAGGCAAACCTGGGGGGTGTGTCTGAGCCCCAGCCTTTTCCCTCTTCCGCCACTTAGCCCTACGGTTCTGGAACCATACCTGAAAGCCAAAAGAAAAACCGGTTTTAATACGCCTGCTCTCGCCCCCGGAGCGGCGAGCCCCTCAGGAGCCCCGCACCGGCCCGACGGCCACCGCTCCTCCGCCGCCCCCGAAGCGGGATCGCCCGAAGGGGCCGGCCCGCGGGGGCCACGTGTGTCGGTGCCCGCTGAGCCCCGGGCTGTGCCGACCCACGCCGGGGCCGACACGCGGCTGTCGGTGACACCCCCGGCCCGGTGGCGGACCCCGGCTCCCGGAGGGGCGCAGCAGTTCTACACCCGCGCACATCTTTGCGGCAGGCCGGCGGTGCGGGCAGATACCGGAGCGGGAAGCGGCTCCCGCTGCGCTGGAGCAGCGGCAGTACGTTTTCCCAAGAGGACTACGCGGGAATTATTCCGCACTCACACCCACACCGCGACTTTTTTTTTTTTTTTTTTTTTTAAAGGGCATATTTACAAATTATATAGTTTGGGGATTGTAGGTTTTTTGGGTTTTTTTCCCTTTTAGATTTAAAGAGAGGGAAAAAACTCGTAATTTCACTGATGTCTGAAACGAAGAAATAATTTCCCAGGCAACCAAGCAGCAAATATAGATTTCAAGGCTGCCCTTTTAAGATCTATTTTATGCAAGTTAGGATGCCATGGCACTGCCATCCTTTCTCTCTTTTACCCCTCCCACAAAGCAAAAATCGTGAAATAAAACTGCTTAAAGCAGGGGAGAGGTAGAGGAAAATAAACCATATTTCAAAGGAAAATAAAATATTCCGTTAATAACCAAGTGTGGGGCCATCACACGCACCTACAGATAGAGAATTTGAGAGACGGACGTTTGTAAATCTTTTGGGGCAGGGGTGGGCAGAGTTTTTCCTGTTATGCTTGGCTTTGTAAGCTCAGTATGAGACCCTTCTTTCCCGGAAGGCAGAAAGGCAGCAGCACTGCGAGTCTCTCCGTACAGTTGTTCAGCGGGAATTGATCTCCACACACGCCTATCTGGGTACCCACGATGAAGAGGCATTGTGTTCGTGCAGAAGGCAACAGCCTGGCACGGAGGGAGCGTCTCTCCCTGCTAAAACTCAATTAGCAAGCTGTCCTCACTACAATTCTCCCTTATTGAATTAATAAGTCTGAGTAGACCCAAAGGTAAACGAAGGGACTCTCATAATTCATATTCACTTAATTACATCTTCTGCCATGAATAGAGGAGAAAGAAAGGGGGTGTCTTTCTGTTAAAAAAGTTATTTAACTTTCCCACGACTTGTTCCCCTGAGCTGAAAATACTGATTTGCTGTCACATCTCTGTTTGACAATGGAGAAATGTGTCAACAGAAAGGAGGGGACAAATCTCATCATTAGCCCCTCTAATGCAAGAAGCTGTTGTGTATTAAATGAGCCATATGGAATTTATTATGCTTTATCAGCGCCTGATTTTAACTGTAAAGTGATTTGCACAGCTTCAAACCCAGAGACATCTGTTTTCTGTTGGCAATCAGGGCATCCCAATGTTTATCGTCTCTTTGGTTATGAGACCCGGGTTGGGAAATGCACTCTGGTATGGGGCGGCAAACACCTTTAATAGCATTGCACTCACTCACTATTAGATCAATGCAGGCTTATTGCTATCAAAAATGGGAAATCAAATAGCATTAGCCAGCTCCTCGTGCAGGCGGAGAGGAAATCAAACAACATTTCGCCTTCAAATGGCCCTGTTTGTTCTAGCACTAAGTGGGCTTTTATGAAGCCCGATTGGAGATTTGATGGCAGCCAAATACCCGACTTGCGGCCGAGCGGGTTTCTAACAACCGAAACGGGAGCCCCGAGTTTCAATCACACAGGGATTCGCCAGCCGATGGCTCGGCCCTGGCGAGGCCGGGGACGCCGCCGAGGAGGGCCAGGCCACCCTTCCCCTGGGCGCCACCGAGGGATGCGCCGCTCCCGGTCCCGCCGCCGCCACTCACCTGCACTCGGGCTTCTGTCAGATCGAGCCTCATGGCCAGCTCCTCCCTGGGGGAGACACAGACGCTGCCGTCAGCCCGGGGCACCTCCACTCGCCCGCGCCCGAAATCCCGGTGCCCGAGGCGAGCGGGGCCGGGCCGCGGGCGGACACCGCCCGTCGCCGCCCTCGGCCCGGCTCCGGGCCGCCGAGCTGGGCACCTCTTGGGACTCCGGGGTTTTTGGCATTCCCTCCCCGCCGCTCCCCAAATTCGGCCAGTTGCAGTCGCAGCTGCCGTGCAGGGGACGGCAGCCGGGAAGCCCCAGACGGAGGTTCACATTGCCACAGTTAAGGTAAATCGGAAAACACTAAGGCACTGGAAAATGGCTCATCAGCTCCGTGTCCCAGAGAGGAGCATTCCCAGCATAACTGGGACCCTGCCGCGGCCAGAGCCCCGCACTCTCAGGGCGTGAAAAGCCCTGGAGCAAAACCCAAAGCCGGAAAAAAAGGAAAAAAAGTGCGGTATGTCCATACACAGCCCGGGCAGCCGCTCCCGGGGCCGGGGCCAGGCGGCGCCCCGAGGTGAGCGCCGCGGACGATGCGCGGCTCCGAGGTCCAGAGAAAAAAATGCCCCGCAAACACTCCTGTTCCAACGCTGCCCCGAACCCCAACCCCTGGGCAAAACAAACGAGAAACTGCGAGGGTCTTCGGGATCGAAAAGTGCGATTTTGGGGACTTGATCCCCCTCTAGTCTTAAGGTAGGAGTGGGGACCTGCAATTTTCGGTCAGCGCGGGGAGAGGGCTGGCAGCCTCTCTCCCTGCTTGCGCTTCCCGCAGGGAGCCGCTGGCCAAACCCGCCACCACCATTTTCAACGGGAAAATGTCCCCGAAAGGATGGACAGAGCCGGGCTGGGCCCCGCCGGGCTCCTTGGAGGCAACTCCGGGCACCAAGAGGCCCCGACGTGCCGGGCCGGTATTTTTAGGCAGCGGCACTTTGATCTCTGCCGCTGCCGGGGCTTCCCCGGGCCGGGCTCCAGCCCACGAGCAGCGCGTAACCGATCCCGGTGCGGCCGCGGTGAGAGGCGGGGTGGGCAGGGGTAAAAATAGCGCCCGGCGGCGGCCTTCAGGCGGGCCTGCCCGGGCTCTGCCGGCCGTGGCTCCCCCCTGAACCTGGCCCTGTTCCCCATCTCCTCCAGCCCGGGGGTGCCCGAGGCAGGATCCACCGCCGAGGGCGGTTTGGAGGCGGGGGTACAGCACACTGCGACTCCGTCCCGTCCCGTCCCCCCGGGGTTCGCTCACTCCGCGCTCGGCCGGGGCCCCGTTGCCGGTACCTGGTGAAGACGTCGGGGTAGTGGGTTTTCTGGAAGGCCCTCTCCAGCTCCTCCAGCTGGTAGCTAGTGAAGGTGGTACGATAGCGGCGCTGCTTCCTCTTGAGCAGCCCCTCCTCGGAGTCGCTGCCGGCCGAGAGGCAGACGCTCTCCTCGCCGTCCTTGCCCTCGCCGTCCTCGGGGTGCAGCAGCAGCTCCTCCTTGGGGGACAGATCCCCGCCCTCCGCCCCGGGGGCCGCGGTGGCGCCTCGGCGGGCATCCTTCAGCAGCCCCCCGCCGTCCTCGCCCAGCAGCTCCTCCTCCTCGTCGTCCTCCAGCTCCTCTTCCTCCTCATCCTCCTCCTCCTCCAGCATCTCTTCGTCTTCTTCCTCCTCTTCCTCCTCCGCGGCCGGTGCAGCAGGGCCCGGCCGTTCCTCGACGTGTGCGGCGGGGCTGCCCAGCTCGTCCCGGGCGGGCGGCGGCGCTACGAAGGGCGCGTTTTCACGGTAGCTTTTGCTGCGACTGATGCTGACCTGGGGCGCCTGGCTGATCTTCAGCGTGTCCCACGGGGCGGCAGCGGGCACGGGGCCCGCGCCCCCCTCCGGTCGCCCCTCCGTCCGGTCCCCCCGCGGCCCCGCCGCCCGCGGCGGCAGCAGCCGGCCCCCGCCCGGCCCGTAAAGCCGGCGCAGTTTGGGGGGAAGGTGCAGCTCGGCCGGTTCGAAGGGGGGACTGGCCTTAGGAGACCCTGAACCATGAAAGTGGCGTAGACGGCCGCAGCAATCGGACGGAGCGGGCAGGCGTGGCGGGGAGAAGGGTGCGGAGGAAAGAAAGGAAGGAAGAGAGAAGGAGAGACACGGTCAGTAGGATCTGCGTTAATAGAGCCTAGGGCAACAGTCCAGTCCCTCAGGCATACTTCGTGCACCATTTTCCTCCTAGTACCCCGTCCCTCAGGCCGGCCCCGGCCCGCGCCGCTGCTTCCAGCCTGGGAAGAAATGCCTCCCGGCCGCTGAGCCCAGCCCGGCGCCCCGCTCAGGGCCGGGACGGGCTGCGGGGGCTCTGACAGCCCCGGGCCTGCGCCGGCACGTTTCCGACAGCGGTCAGCGCCGGACCATATGCCACATGGCGGGGCAGCGCTGGTCCTGCTGCGCCCGCCCAGCAGCCGGGATTCCTCCGCTGGCTTTTTTTTTTTTGTTTTGTTTTGTTCCCCCCTCCCTCTCTAAGTCTAGTTTTGGTTTTGGAGGAAAGAATCCCGCCCGCCAGTGTACGCCGGGAAAAGCGGGAGCGAGGCCGCCCATGGGAGCTGCCCATCCGGGCTCCCGCCGCTCCGGAGGGGGCTGCTCCCAACTTGGGGCCGGGGGCGGCGGCTGCCGGCGGCCCGTTATCACTGCCCCGGCTGCTGCCGGGCGCGGCCCCAGCTCGCTCGCCGAAACCCGTTACAGGTTTAAATGCGAACGGGCCAGGCTTTCCCCCCACACAGATCGCATCTCACACCGATTTATTTTGGCTCTAAAAATTGCACCTATATCGAAAGCAAGAGCAGCCTAAAGCGCCGGTACCCGACCCCCAGGGAAAGAATTGTGACGAATTCCGGGCACGGCTCTGGCTGCTCTTCCTGGCAGCAGAGCAGCCGCTAACGAGCACGGTAACGGGATAACAGAGACCGCAGCTCCGAGGCGGCGCCCGGCCGTGCGGTGCAGGCGGGGAGCGGGGCCGGAGCCGAGCCGCAGGCTGTGCGGGGAATGGGGGACACACAGCCGGGCCTGCCCGATGCCGGGGAAAAGGGACCGGACGAGCGGGATGGGACGGCGGGGCTTACCTTGCGCGGCCTTGTCGGTGTCGGGACGGGCGGCGATGGCGGGCAGGGTGGGCGCGGTACCGAGCAGCCGCACCTTGCAGGGGCTCCGCCGGCCCAGGATGCTGTCGATGCAGTAAGAGGACAGCAAAGTTGGCGATTTACTTTTGCACTCGGGGCGCTCGGCGCAGCTCTCCTCCGGGTAGGGGCCGCTCATGGCGGCGGCAGCGGGGCCGAGCCGTGGGGCCGGGGCGGGAGCGGCGGCGCGGACGCCCCCGCGGCGCTGCCCGGTGCCGCCGGGACGCCCGTCACGGGGGGAGTGAGCGGCGGCCGCGGCGCTCTTGAGTCCCCTCGGCTCCACGTGCGGG